AGCAGATAGAAATATATAAATCTAGTCCAGAACAAAGATACAGATTTGGGGATCTTTGGGGTATGGAAAATAATTAAAGTTTTGGAGGAGATGAATTCCCCCAAGGAAAATGTATAGTGTGAGAAAAGCTCTAAGGCAGGACCATGCAGCCTGCCAGTATTTAAGGCAGAGGAAGAGGAGCTGTCAAAACAGATCAGGATGGAGAGGGGAGGAGAAAAAACATCTATGTGGCTGGACTGGATGATCCTTAAGGCCTCAGTCGGCTCTGACAGTCTGTGGTCATCACGGGGCTGGAATCTGAGCCAGGTCTCAAAAGCAGAGCACATGGCTTATTCATGAGAACAAAGAAGGGAATTCCAAGTAATATTACTATATCAGCCAAGGTCCCAATAAGAAACAGAGGACACACGCAAGCTGAATAATTGGAAGGAATTTTAATAAAGAGGCTGTTTATAAAGATGTAGAAAGGGTCTGAGGAATGCAATAAGGCAGAAATCTGGCCCTAGCCACAGAGAGACGCTTCACCACCCCCAAGGACTGAAGTCCACAAGGGAAGTGCCGCTGTACAGAGAAGGCTTCCCTATAGGAGACGTGGCCTCTGGACCCACCTCCCTCTCCTCTCCACCTGCCCTCCAGTTTCTTGCTAGTGCCTCCTATTGGCCAAACAGAAGCCAGACAGCAAGGGAGCCCACTGAGGCAGTGTAAACACATCGTCTTCCTGGGGCACAGAGCAGGATGGGGACTGGATGTGGAAGGGCAAACAAGGTATCCAGAACAATTATGTTGGAAAATTGAAGTGTATGGATAAGGGAATATATTAGTTTCCTATTGCCACTGTCACAAATTTGGTGGCTTAAAACAACACAAATTTATTATCTTACAGTTTAGGGGTTAGAAGTCCAAAGCAGGCTTCATTGGGCTAAAATCCATGCCTTCCTTTCTCAAGGCTCTGGGGCGGAACCCACTTCCTTGCCTTTTCCAGCTTCTGGAGCCCAACACACATTTCTTGGCTCTCAGCCCCTTCCTGCATCTTCAAAGTAATTTCATCCCTCTTAACCTCTGCCTCTGTGGTCACATCTTGTTCTCCGACTCTTCTGCTTTCCTCCTTCCTCTTTTAAGAGCCCCTGTGATTAATTGGGCCCACTCAGATAATCCAGGATAATGTCCCTATTTTAAAATCTTTAATTTAATTACACTGGTCCCTTTGCCATGTAAAGTACACCCCCAGGTTCTGGGGATTAGCATGTGGACATCTTTAGGAGGGCATTATTCTGCCTGCCACATAGATTGAATAAAACATTTTGACTAGATTGGAGGGCTGCCCAAGAAAGTAATGAAAAAAGAAAACAGGAAATGCAGATCAAAGCCACACTACAGGAACTTTGGATGCTACACTGTCTGAATTGTATTCTATAGACAGTAGGGAGCCATTGGAAGTCCTTCACCAGGGTAGTGGCTTGCTAGCACTGTTAAGAAAGATGATCTGATCGTGGTGATCTGGGTGTCTTAGAGGGAAGAACAGAAACCTTTCAAGATGCAATTAGAGTAGTCCAGGCCCAGGGGAACAAAAGGCTGAAACAAGAGTGACAGGAAGGGATGGTGTGGAAAGTCCTGTGCAGTAAGATTCTACAAGAGGTGTCAACCGACTAGACCTGGAATGAAGGGGAGGAATCTGAGCTTTGGAAGTGACTGACTGGTACATTAATGGTATGATCTAGATTTCTAGAAAATCAGGAGAGCAAATCTGTTTCAGGGGAAGGTGAGGAGTTAGGGTATACTGGTAGAATCCTGGAATAGAAATACAAATAGAACCGTATCAACTCTGGATACTTTCAATTGTAAAACACACCAGTATTTTATGTGCCACTAAGAAAAAAATTAAAATGTGGTACATGCCTTTTTAAATATATACTTTTTATTTTATTGAAAGAGCTGTTCTTGACTTACGGACGTTTGATGACATTTAATTGACATAGAACAAAGTATACATCTTTCAAGTGTAACGTTTGATAAGTTTTGACCGGTGCATGCACCGGTCATGCACCTGTGAAACTATGACCACAATCAGGGCAATGAACATACACATAAACCCCAAGTTTCCTCATGTCCCTTGGCATTCCCTCCCTCTGTCTCTGCCTACCTCTCCTTGATCCCTACACAACTACTAACTTACTTTCTGTCATGTAGATCAGTTTACGTTTTCGAGAATTTTAGATCAATGGAACTGTACCATGCATATTCTTTCTGGTCTATTCTTTTTGGTCCATGTATATTCTTTTCATTCAGTATAATTATTTTGAGGTTCATCTATGTCATTCTGTGTATCAATAGTTTGTTCATTTTTAATTCTGAGTCTCTTCCATTATATGTATAGACCACAATTTGTTTACCCATCCACCTACTAATAATTATTCAGGTTGCTTACAGTTTTTGGCTATTACAAATAAAACTGCTGTGAATATGCATAGATTTTTAAAAGAACATTCCTGTACATACATAAAAAAGGAAAATGCAAGTGAAATGAATTGGTTGATATTCTTAAATGTCTTCATGTTCAGATTCCAACTTTTTGAATCATTTTTTGACTCATAGTCATCTGTGTCTGGCTTTTTTTGACATAGTACCTCCTCTATGCAATCAAGAATGGTATTTTTATAAAAGTTATTGCTATTGGCTCTTAAACCATTCTGTAATTATACAGAACTGGCCTAGTCAGGACCTTCCTTTGGGAGTGTTGCTAAGTACACCTGAGTCACCACCTCACCCACTCTCTCCTTACTAGATTTTAAAAGAGTCCCTGGGATTTTTCCCCAGGTTCTATGACACCTTTCTGCTAGTTTTGAAGCAGCTGCTTCTGATGTTGACATCTATCTGGGTAGCAACAAGTACATCTGGACTGCTGCTGCGTCAATGGTTATTGTAGGGCCATCAATTATAAGGCACATCTTAATTTGGGGATGTTAAATGTGGGAAACTGTGCAGCTTAAAATCTGTTAGGGCCCTGGCTGGTGTGGTTCAGTGTATTGAGTGCCAGCCTGCGAGCCAAAGGTTCAATTCCCAGTCAGGGCACATGCCTGGATTGCGGGCCAGGTCCCCAGTTGGGGGCACATGAGAGGCCACCACACATCGATGGTTCTCTCCCTCTCTTTCTCCCTTCCTTCCCCCCTCTCTAAAAACAAACAAACAAATAAAATCTTTAAAAATTTTTAATAAAAAATTAAATCTGTTAAGTAGTGTAGTTCAACCAGTTCATTCATTTGATGGCTAAGAGCCTGGCAGATTGAGATCCTTGTCCAGAGCCACAATAAATGGGTGATAGCTGGAACCAGAACAAAGTGTAAAAGATCTAGTTGCTTTCTCAGACTTCAGTGAGATGGGTTTTGATTTGTTTTTACTGGAATAGACCAATTGAAGCAAAAAGAAGGTAGACTGATGAAAAGGAGAGTTACATTATATAAGGAAACCACACATAAACAGAAAACCGCAACTTGAATATGGTGAGCAGTTGAATTAATAAGGAGAAAGGAACAACATTCTTTACCTGCCAACCCATTTTTCATTCTTACTGTTTGAATTACCTTGTTCAAAACAGGGCTTCTCAAGTTATTTCTCTGCTTCACAAATTTGCAGTGGCTCCTTATCTCCCGACAGAATAAAGTCCAGGTTCTCTGACAAGCCATGTAAGGAAGGGTCTTCATAGATGTCTCCCATGCCTTTAGCTCTTTCCTCTCTCCTCCCCATAACCCTCCTCTCTAGAAACACCGAGCATCCGTGCACTCACCAACACACCACATACTTGTACATCTTTATGCCTCTATTAGTGCAGCTCCTTTTCCCTAAGAACAACCCTTCCCCACTCATGTCTACCTTATGACCTTTTCCTTCAGCCTCAAACTCAACCTCTTTTTCACAGTGTCCCCTCAAGCCCTAGACCCCCTTATCTAGTAATTATTTCCTCATGTGCTTTAAACCTACTTTATACATTATTTCTATTACAACACTTATCAAGTGGTATTATTCTATCTGTGTGTCTCGCTGAGCCATGATCTCCTTGTTTATCTTTGCATTCCTGTTTTCTAGAACTCTGCCTGGCAACTAGTGGGAGTATAGCAAATATTAATTGCCTTGAAAGATCTGACTGATACTAATACCTCCTAAGGAGAAACAGTCCGTTGAGCACATTGTTATTTCCTGAATGCAATATTATCTTTCTAGGGACTGCCTGTAAAATCTTCTGCAAAAAAAAGAAGGAATTGAGTAAAATCACCTAGGGGTGAGGTGGTATAAAGAGAGGGGATTGAAAGGAAAATGGACTGGGGTCTAAAGAATTAAGCAGGGTGGCCCAGGAACAAAAAGGAAATGAGACTAAAAAGAATAAGGGGAAGGAGGAAAGAAGAAAAGAGAGGAGAGAAGTGGAGAGGTAGTCATGCAGCCAGGATTTGAGAACCGTAACTTAGTTTAATGGCAGGGGAGTTACTGGACAATGCTTCCTCACATGGACGTTCCAAACTCTCTTCCCTGAATGAACCCCATTCTGTATTCTTCCCATCACTCCGTCTCTGAAAAGACACAAGTGTGCTTCTCACAACTGCCTTACAATTAGTGCATTGTTCCTCACTTTTTTCTGCAGAAAGCTGAAGGCAGTAGAGTAAGTAGTATGGTGGAAAAGCACTCACTACAGTGGACATCGATCGGAAGGCCTGACACACCCCAGTCCTGATGCCTTGAGCAACGTGCTTAGCTACCCTTCACCTCAGAATCTTTGTAAAATGGGGTGTTAATGTCCGTATAGGCTTTCTTTCTAGGTTGTTGTAAAAATCAAGTGACGAAAATACTGTATATGAAAACACTTTGTAAGTGGTCAGCTTGCTCTGCAAATGAAGATTATGGTACCTTTTTTTGATGAATTAATCATCCATTAGGGAGACTCCCACTGGCCCTGTCTCCTGTTTATAGGTCCTATGTACAGAAAGGAGATAACGGTGTTTCTTTCTTATTAGGAGTATTCTGAAGTCTCAGGAAGTTGGCCCGTGTAAATGTTCGTGGCCTGTGAAAAAGGCATATAAGAAACCATGGCACTCCCTTTTCAAAAAGAGTTGGAGAAATACAAGAACATTGATGAAGATGAGCTTCTTGGCAAACTCTCAGAAGAGGAACTGAAACACTTGGAAAATGTTCTTGATGACCTAGATCCCGAGGTTAGTGGCCTGGAACTGAGCCTGGGGGTTAGTGACGGTCTGGGATATATGACGTGGCACGGTCCTCACGCAGTGGTGTAGGAATGCCTTGGCTTCAAACACAAGTTCTGTGTTCTCCCAATTGGGTCTGAGTCCCTTATTTCTGCAAATTTGTGGAGAACCTCAATAACCACATCTTTAATAGGATATGGCAAATGTATTTCTCAAGAAAACAGTTTAATGTGAATAAGGAAGAAATAGGTTCCGTTGGTTGACAAAAGACTGGTCTGACTGGGAGAAAGGAAAGGTAAGAGAGAAAGGGAACAGATCTTACTGAGTTTCTTCTGTGAGTCACACATTCTGCTGGGCACAAAAGCCCCTTAGGTAAATTGTATCATCACCATTTCATGCACGAGATGACAAACTAGGAGAAGTAATTTACTGAAGATCTCATCCTAGTAAATGTCAGAGATTTTATTTAAACCTGGTCTTTAACCCCAAAGGCAGATCTTTTTTATATCTTGTTCCTTTAAAATGCATAAACAACTTGGACACTCTATGGTGATCAAACAACAATAGGTAGATTAGAAGAACTAACAATAATATCAAGTACATTTAAGTGGAGATTTTAATATTTTTGTGAGCTCGTAAAAAGCTAAGTATTGGGCCAAAAAGTTCATTTACTTTTTCCTGTAAAATTAAAAACACATTTTTCATTTTCATCAATAACTATTGATTTGGGTAGTTTCAGTATGTCAGCTATCTCCTGTTCTTGGCTTCCAGTCGGCAGAGACCAGGGGTGCTGCTGAACATCTTCCAAAGCAGAAGACAGCGCCACAGCAAAGGATTATTTGGCCAAAATGTCAATAGTACCAAGAAATTTTGCAAACCACTTTTGACATGTTTGATTAGTCACAGCACCTTCTTCATACACTGCACAAATCTTTTCCTCCATTTCAGTTGCATTTTTACCTTTCTTGAAGTAATATAACATGATATGCTGAAAACGTTGCATATTTTCTTCCATCTTCAATATTAAAATGGCAGCATAAAAATTCACCAATTTTGATAAGGTTTTTTAAATGCATGCTGATATGACAGCTGTCACAATACAATCTAACAAAATTGTTTCAAATGAAGTTAAAGTAAACCAAGCACTACTAGAGCCATCGTACGGAAAAAAACATAACGGATTTTTTGGCCAACCCAATAACTTATTATAGTGTTTGTTTAACAAGCACTTTCTTCAGCCCTGCTGGTATTGTCTTAAACTTAGAACCAGAGGCATCCAAAATAATGATTTTACTGTAAATAAAAATGACACTAAATCATTTCTGTGGTATTCTGATTTGCCAGATACCTTGGATATTATATTTACTTTTAAAAACATAAGTATTCTGTTTGTATTTTTAATTTATTATTTATTTATTTATTACTCATCACCCGAGGACATGCTTACTGATCTTAGGGAGAAGGGAAGGGATAGAGAGAGAGGGAGAGAAACATCAATGTGAGAAACATTGATTGGTTGCTTCTTGTATGTCCCCCGACCAGGGACCAAACCCACAACTAGGTAGGCATGTGTTCTGACCACGGATCAACCTGTGACCTTATGGTTCACAGGACAACGCTGTAACCAACTGAGCCACACTGGCAAGGGCTGTTTGTAGTCTTCACACTTAAGGAATCTCTACGTTTAATCAAGCAGGTATCAACATAATACCATACACCATAATATATACCATAATATTCTCTTTAAGTGCTTGGCTGTTTCCCCAGGAGAGGGGTTAGAAATAAGAGAGAGCAGCAATGTTGGCTCCTCTGTAAAGTCTCCATATGCCTGCCTGGGAGCACCTTGGGTGCAGTTCCGGCCAAACCTAACTGGTCCCTGTGGTGCTGTGAAGGGAGGCTGGCCTTTTGCCAGCACATGTTAGAAGGCAGCTGCAGAAGACCCAGAGGCTGCTCCAGCCATCTGTGTTCTGCCGGCATTTGTTGGGGGCCCCGCCCTCAGCACAGGATATTAAAGCAAGTAGGGCGACAGATATGCCAGAGAACCTACCCTGAGCTCACACCCACATCCCCACACCTCTGCACAGGTGTCCTTCTCCGTGCTTCCCCCATATACAGCAGGGGGCAGTTGGATAACAAAATATCAATTGGGCAGACACCTTCCTTCTGGCTCAAACCTCTGTCTTTGAATCAGAGTGCCCTGCTACCAGCTGGATTCCGACAGAAAGACCAGACCCAGAAAGCAGCCACCGGCCCGTTTGACCGCGAGCATCTCCTCATGTATCTGGAGAAGGAGGCTTTGGAACAGAAAGACAGGGAAGACTTTGTGCCCTTCACTGGAGAGAAGAAAGGTAAGGACCTCAGGTGGCACACCTTGGGGCAAAGGTACTCCTACTGTATTGTCATGGAAGATCTGGCAAGGGAACCGACATAGGAATGGGAAATAAGCCTATGAATTGGATTCGTTATTAAAAAGAATGAAGGCTGATGGATACGTATCAGTGTAGACATTTGTCCAGACCCATAGCATGTGCACCACCAAGAGTGCACTCTAATGTAAACCAGAAGCTTCGAATGACGTTGATGTCAGTGGAGGTTCATTGATTGCAACAACTGTGCCACTCTCGGTAGTTTCCTCTCTGATCCTAAAAACTGCTCCCAGCCCTGGCCGGGTGGCTCAGTTAGCTGGAGCATCATCCCATACACCAAAATGTTGTGGGTTTGATTCCCAGGGCAGATACCTAGGTTGCATGTTCAATTGCTGGTTGAGGAGCACTCAGGAGGCAACTGATCGATGTTTCTCTCTCACATCAATCTCTCTCTCTCTCTCTCTCTCTCTCTATCTCTCTCTCTCTCTGTCTATCTCTATCTCAAATCAATAAACATAGGTTTGGGTGGGGATTAAAAACTAATAGTAATAACAAATTTTTAAACTGCTCTCCCAAATAAACTTTATTAACTAAATAAAAAAGAACCATGGAGGCAAATTAAATGAATGCTTAGAGCGTGATGGTACTCAAATTAGTTACGTTAGAAAAAAAACCCTGACTCCCAAAGAAAAAATTTTGGAAGTGTGAAGTAGTGTTGTATCTGAAAGAGGGTCCCATGGGCATGAGTGGTTTGTCTTAGCCTGGTGCTTCACCTGCTGCTGAAGTCTCCTCCATGTCTAGGCATTGGCTCTGTTCCTTGTGATGCTACCGTTAGAGGCCAGTGCAGCCCGTCACTCATTCAGCCAGCATTTACCTCCTCTGCGCAGAGCCAAGTGCCAGGTGCTGGGCCCGCAGTGAAGAACACCTGTCCTGGAAGGCTCTGAGACAAAGTCCTGAGCTCTCTCCATGCTCAGAGTGAGCTCAGAGTTAAGACATGAAAATCCTCCTCCTTCACTCTTGACCCTGAGCCCCTTTGGAGGAAGAAGAGGACACCAGTTGCCTGTCCAGATTCTTCAGCTACAGACAGCAACTTGGGCCCACAGGCACTAACGAAATCACTGATAACCTCATGCCAACCACAGTCTTTTCGAAACACAAGTCGGATCATGTCACCTTCCTGCTCAAAGCCCCAAATCCTTACTGTGGTCCTCACAGTGCTGGAAGAGTGTGCCCTGCCCACCTCTCTGAGTACCTTCCCTCACTAAGCCTCAGCCCCAGTATCTTCATTCAGTTCCTCAAACCTGCCAAGTCCCTTTCCCATCTCAGGGCTTCTTGTGAGCTCTTCCCTCTGACCCACATCCTGCTGTTTACATTCTACGTCTTAGCTTACATGCCCGGGCCTCCAGCTTTCCCTGACCTCTCCATCTGAGACAGACCCCTTCTCTCCGCCTTGACACGCATTTCCTGCTTTCGTAGCACTCGGACAGTGTTTATCCTTTTGTTTATTTTGGGTTTTGTGTGTTTTCCACATTGGATTGAGATCTCCAGTGAGGCTGTGTCTCTCTGGCACAGAAACTGGCACAGGGGTGGCACTCGGTAAACGTGGGTTCGAATGAATGCCATCTGAGTGTCTGTATCTCGGCCGCGGGGAGTAGGAACACAGCTCCCCCACCTGCATGAGTCACAGCAGCGCTGCCTCCGCGCACACAGCACCCAGGCTTTCCTCTGAGCCTTGCATCCTTAATGCATCATGCACCACTGATGATGTCATCTTACTAAGAAAGCAAAGTTGAACAGTGACAAACTGGGCAAGTAACCAAGGATTGCCATTGAAATATGGAGCTCTTTCTATGGCAGCATGGGGCTATTTAATTGTGAAAGAAAAAATAAATTATAATGTCAAATTTCCAATAAAATTCCAGTTAACGTCCAGTATTAGGGTAGTGACAGAATAATAGAGGGAAGCTGTTTTCTTCTGTTCTTAGAGTAGAGGTCTGAGGAGCAACTGTGTTCAATTCCCTCTCCATCCAGGTTAACCTGCAGATGGTTCACAGGGGCATTAGGAGTGCGGAGCAGTCTGGGTAATGAATGGGGATACAAAAAGGGTATGCACTGCACAGGTAGCTTAGGTGAAGCAACACAACTGAGCAAAATGAGCAGAGAACAAGTTTTCTGAGCAGAGCAGAGGGCTTAGGCTGAGGAGTCTGCAGGGCCCCAGGAGGGACAGCGGATGGATGCTCTGGACGCACGGGGGGCTGCCTTGAAGGCCGCAGGAGAGGGACCGCACAACCTCGGCTCTGCACGCCCTGTGCCCTGGGCCCTCAGTTCCCAGGCTACAGTGAACCCTCCACTGTAGCTTTATTCACTGAGGACTCCTTATTTGGTCGGACCCCAGGGAATGGATGTGCAGCAGCAGTTGTCCTGGATACCGAATACCGACCATTGTGGCCCACCTGTGCTGCTAGTGTTTAGAGTAATCTGAAACAGTACCAGGAATTAGGAACTTAGAAATCCTAGTTTTGACTCTGGACCCAAGATCATCTGAGCCAAGAAATAAAATGCTTCAGGTTACAGATAGTATGAAAATTTAGTCTGGATAAGCGCCAGTGTCTGAGATTCTATTGATTACTTGATTTTTTTTTTCCCTTTTCTATCATCTGGCCATTTTCCTATTTTGTTTCCCAGAGTGTTTTCTTTATGTCTGGGAAATGTGGCTGCTTATATGATGGTCAGAGGTAGAAACCTGTGGCCAGGATACCCTAGCCTGAGCCACAAGGAGTACGGCCTCTTCGGGGTGCCCAGTTCTGCCTGGCTCCTGTTTCCTTGCCCAGCCATTTGAAGATCTGGTGAACCATCAGGAAATATGCAGCCCCTGTGTCCAGGGATGTGTCCTGGAGAGTTTGCATGAGGGAGAGGTACTGACGTTGGGTTTGACCCTTTCCTTTCCCATGGGTGTGGGGAAGGTCAGACTAGCCAAGGAGACCTGGAAGGAACTTGGACCCCAGTTGGCTGAAGCTGGAGCCAGCTGTCTGTTCTACCCACAGCAACAAAGAGGAGAAGAATTGGAGGGGCGAGTCTTTAGGGAACTCCCAAGATTAAAGTGGAGGAGACCAATTTCAGAGATCATGCCAAAAACTAAAAGAGAAACTGAGTCCAAGCCAGGAGGAAATGGAAAGAGTATGAGCAGGTCTGGGCTATAGCTCTGGTGGCCCTGGAGTGTCTTGGGTTCACCTTTAAAAGCCCGAGTGGGACGTGGGTGTGCTGGCCTGGCTGGAAGTTAGGCTGAGGAAGTGTGCCGTCCTCCCAGCAGTGCGATTGTTAGTCCAGAGATTGGGTGGGTTGGGGTAGGGGTGTTGTAGATATCGGTGTATTCAGAAGTGAGTCAGGGCAAAAGAAATGCAATCCAGCTGACAGCATGAAGTGGGAGGTGGTGGCAGAGGATGCGTGCGTGGGAAACACAGAGCGCCTACTGCTCAGACCTCCACGTCTCTGAGTGTGACGGCCCTGATTTTTTTCTTTTGAATCGGGCTTGCTTCGGTATGCTCTGGAGAGGTGGCTATATCCCCAGATCACTCCCTGGTCCAGTGATCCTAGCTGTAACATCCTACTTACTAGTCTACAGTCTCAGTTGGTTTGAGGAAAACTCTGGAGGATCGCCAGTTTGGCCCTCAGGAATCCCTAGGGCTGTTTAGATTCATGTGGCCTGAATATTTGCAGGGTCCAAGACAAGAACACAAATAGAAGCCCATGTGCCATTTTTCTTACAAATATTTAAAAGTTAACAAACTATAAAAATATGTTATATCTTCATATAAATATATCTAGACCAGTGTTCTTGGACTTCCAAGAGTTCCACACAGGGATGTCTGTCCACTGCTAAGACCTCAGGCACATATGGCTGACACCTCAGCCTACATATCCAAGTTTCATTCATACTCACCCACAAGCAGCCTCCCCTTGGCCTGGGGGTGCGCATCCCAGCAGTGTGACGTGCTTCCCGGAGGGTAGGCATGGAGAAGGGATTGAGGCAGGCCCTGGAAGCAGGCTCAGGGCTCTTTAGGCAAAGAATTCCACAGACCCAGGTGTCCTGGGTGTGGTCTAGCAGGCAGCCTCTATTCCGGATGGGAATGTTCCTTTGTCCCACGAGTCTTCCCTGGGTAGGGCAGAAGCAAGTTGGGGGGAGGGGCAGTGGGAGGGTGCAGCCAAAGGAGACCAGAGTTGGGCCCTCTAGAAAGTGTGGAGTCCATGGCAGGGCCCCCTTGCCCAGGTCTAAGGGCAGTGCCACTAATGCGTGGGAGGGAGGGAGGCAGAGGCTGTTTCTCTCTGTGTTTGAGGACTGTGGACTCCTTGGCTCTCGGTGTTGCAGAATGAAGGGTTCCCCCTCTGACCTCCCTGTCTTCCACTTGTGGACTACTGGTATTGATACTGGCATCATCCCAGCCATTAAGGGCTCCCAGTCGGATGTGTAGTGACGTAATGACTCAGCTTCTAATGGCCAGAGCTGCATTCTCTGGTGGGTCCACTTACCCTAAAATAAGACAGCAGCACACAATGGTTTTTGTTTTTCTTCTGATTTAAAGGGAGAGTCTTTATCCCCAAAGAAAAGCCCGTGGAAACTCGTAAAGAAGAAAAGGTGACCCTTGATCCAGAACTGGAAGAAGCTTTGGCCAGTGCCTCCGACACTGAACTCTACGATCTCGCAGGTTAGTCCTCAGCTCAGGACACTTTTCTGTTTGGCTTAGTGACCTTCAGGCTGGCACCCCTGGCCGTAGCCTTTTAACTTCTTCATAGCTATCGATTTTTATGTAATACCTGGTTGACTGCAACCGTTGTGTGGCCGTAAGACTTGCTACAGGTGACTTGACCTCGCTGAGCAAACATTCTGCTGTATTTCAGCTCCAAACTGCCCCAACATTATATCCCCTACCAAACTCAGGAGTTTCTGGGAGAAATCCAAGAGCATGAAGGTGAAGGAGTGCTGAGAACTCACACAAAGAAATAACAGCCCTTATGCTTTCTAAAGAGCTTTCACATTTGGCACTTATCACCACGAAATTTCCATGAAGTCCTCGCTCTTCCCCAGTTGCTGTTCCAGTTTGATCCCTATTAAGAAGCCTGTTAAACCTGACGATGGAACAGGCATAATTTGCTGTTAACGTTCACAGCACAGGAAGTGCACATTCAGCCCAACCTGCTTACTTTTCTCTAGTTTCCTAACAATAGCAACAATATAATAAGGATTCATATTGTTATTTGAATTTATTATACATGCAGACAGAAAAAGCCCCAAAAGTACAAAAGAATATGTAATGAAAGTCTCTGACCCTAGTTGCACAAGCCCCCTCCCACGTCTTGTATATCCATCGAGAAAGAGTCCATGCTTACACCAGCATCTTTGGGTACTGATGGGATGCACTTTTTCCCAAATGGGTTGAAAATGTGGATTATTAGGGTCATTAGGTCATCGCAGGAGACAGGTGCTTTAAAAAACATTCCTCAGCTTTAGCAAGAATTCTCACATTTTTATTCCATTGGAAGATGTGTTGTTATAATCGCCTTCCTCCCGGGAGAACCAGTGGTGCCTTATTCTAATAACATGCAAACCATTCCAGCTACGTTTTCATTCCTTCTGTGGTATCAGCGGTCTGGAGTAAATTCACATGTCTGAATCCCTCTCGGCAGTCATGGCAGCAGTCGAGGCACCTGTGCCGCACAGTTAGGAAGGTGCTCAGCAGTGACCAGCCTGCTTAGCCCTGTGGTGGCTGTGAAGGGATCATGTTCTGCTGGCCGTTCCTCCTCAGGGTTCCTTCCTGGTCTGTACTGGAATTGCCCAAGAGGACAATGCAGAGCTGGGGTTTAAACCCCCAGGAAATGCCTAAGAAGGAAGAAAGAGATAAACCACTAGGGGGATAATCCCAGAAGAAAACTGTCTTGTTTATTTTACTTAGCCTGTCTTGCTCAGCAAGTGCTCCCTCAGCACTCAGGAGGAAGCCCAGTCAGGGTGGGTGGCAGCAGCTTCTCTAGGGTGGCCCTCTCTGGAGGAGGTGGAGCAGCCCCCGAGTGCATGGGCTGCCAGCCTTTGAAAGAGTTCGGTGCCCTGCCCCTGTTACTGCAGCGGATCCAGAGCAGACCCAGAGTGAAAGACAGGTGGTTGGTTCATCAAGGGAGCAGCAGCTGACCTCCGAGACAGCAGCTCCCACAGTGGTCGTGTTTCAGTGTGGTCACCACCCAAACCAGTCTGGTTTCCAGCTTTTCTGGTTTAGAGATTTGGTCTTGTTATTGCATATAGCAGCAGTCAGATTGGGGCCAGGCAGTAAGGGTTGATCTACTAGCCAGGTTCAAAGGAAACAGAAAAAACAAAAATTCAAGCTTGGCAATGGGAGCCAAATTGTAATTAGAAGTTATTAGTGAGTATGGGGCCAAAACAAGATATGTTTTTGGGATGGTCTCAGCAGCCTGTGCTTATGAAGTAGGGCATTTTCTCCCTAGACAATGCCAGGAACACAGCGACAAATTCTTATTTACTAAGTAGAATTTGTAAAGCACTTTGAACAGTGCCTGACACATAGGAAGTCATTTAATCTTTGTAGCAGATAAAGTATAATTATTGGTGTGCTGGCTGCCTCCCTTCTTCTAATGTGTAGATTACAGTACAGTGACACCTGTTAACAGATTATCTACTTAGGGATCCTTCACCAGGTGGCCACCTGTAATTTTATTAGCAAAGGGAAAGCTGGGTGTGCAGTTGCAGCTTCAGCCCTCCTGGTGTGCCTGCTTGTTTCTCGCATATGGTGCTGCCTCCTGGTGTGAGTTCCGTGTACTACAGGAGACTCAGAATCTCAACATGCTTATTGAACCTTCTATTGCTAGCGTTCTTTGATTTCCCGCCCTGGGGTGCTCTAGACTAGAAAAGATGACTTCTTTTGGTGAGGCTTGCATTGAAAGAGATTTATGATCCTTTTGCTCTTTGTCTCTGGAAAAATGCATGTCATCATCTCTATGATGTTAGAGCTTAAAATATCCTAAGATCAAGTCCTGCCTTCACATTTTACAGTTGAGAAAGCTGAAGGGTTGAATCTCGTTTACTGGAGATCTCAGCAGATTTTCAGTCATTTGGGGCCATAATTGGATCACTGTCCCCAAGATCCTAAATGGTGTCACAGGTAGAAAGACCTGTGAAGATTTCCAGTGGTCTTGGAAGAAAGGTTCCGTATATTTTACACACACACACACACACATAAGAGCTTATTTAACATTATATGTGTATATATATGAACCTATTTAACACTATATATATGAGCTTATTGAAACATATCACATATGTATAATAAGCTTATATATATAAGCTTATTTAACACTACACATGTACCAGACTCTATGCAAGGGAATGGGGGTCTGGAGACTTACTAACAATATGGATGTTCCAACATGCTTTCCTGAACTTAATGTCTATTTACTGACTTTCTTTGCTTTCAGCTGTTCTTGGAGTACACAATTTGCTCAATAATCCAAAGTTTGATGAAGAAACACCCAACTCTAAAGGTGGCAAAGGGCCTGTGAGAAGTAAGTGGACGTGGAGTCTGTGGTTCTGAGACTTGGGAGCCTCCAGGTCTGCTGGGCGGAGAGAGGTGTGTAGACTGGGCCTCCTAGTGAGTCCAGACTTCTGTCTTACAGCCTTTGAAGGTGGCTTTTGTTACTTCACCAAGGATCGCCGGGGTCGGGGCAGTCAAACCAGAACAGAGTAGTTAATATTGGGAGCTCTGTCTGGCCACGTAACTAGTAACAAGCAGTTGTTTTGTCCGAAACACACTTTCTTGATAGGTCCCTTCAGTCAAAAGATAGAATTACTGATACAAAGGTTGCGTCGTTCCCACAGAATGCAGACAGAGTTTCATGTTTCTAGAGATGTTTTAATCAACTGTAGTATCTTAGATAAGTTCCTTTCTCTATTTGTGTGTCTTTTTGTCTCAGTGTGGATGCTCGTCATTAGAACTTGAATACCCACTTCCCCCAGGGAGCAGGGAAGACACACTGGCAGGGGTTTGCTAGAGCGGAAAGTGCCAGACCACTGTCTTCTCATCAGCATTTCCTGGAGACGGTCCATTAGATTCTCCCACTTGCTCAGCAGTCATCTTTCAGAAACCTGCTACCTGTCAGGGGTGTTCTAGGCTTAGGTGCAAAGATAAAAACAGATGGTCCCTGCCCAGAGGAACTTACCTACTTGTTGTAGGGACAGGCCAGTAATGAGGTAATTTTGGAACAGTGTGATCCAGTTGCTGTGAAAATTCACTGCAGAACACAGCTTTTCTGGGATACATTATGTTTTATTCTCTTGGATACAAAACACACTTCTAGTCTCAGCAGCTTACTTGTAAATCATCATTTATACTGGGTAATTTACCCAGACAATGAACAATATTTCTTTTATTTTCTTTTTGGGTTTTTTTTATGCATACAGATGAAAAATGTTCAACCTTATTATGTTTCAACATCAAAGGGTAACATTCTGACAACATGTTTGCTATTAGAAGTCTGGTGTATAACCTTCTTGGATTTTATACATACACATACATATCATTAACTTTTTAAAAAGATTTTACTTATTTTTTTAGAGAGAAGGGAAGGGAGGGAGAAACAGAGAGAGAGAAATGTCAATGTGCGAGAGAAGCATCAATCACATACCTCTTGGACACCCACAACCCCAGACCTGGGATCTGGGACCCAGTCCGCAACCCAGGCCTGTGCCATGACTGGGAATCGAACAGGTGGCCTTTCAGTTTGTGGGAAAACACCCAGCCCACTGAGCCACACCAGTCAGGGCCATGTCATTAACTTAAAAAAACAAAACAAAACATTATTTTTTCCCTGGTCGCGTGGCTCAGTTGGTTAGAGCATTGTTTCATACACCAAAAGGTTTTGGGTTCCATCCCCAGTCAGGGGACATACAGAAGGCAACTGATCGATGTTTCTCTCTCACATCAGTGTTTCTCTCTCTCTGCTCCCTCTCTAAAAATCAACGAACATATCCTCAGTGGAGGATGTTTTTGAAAACATTATTTTTTAGAGCAGTTTTGGTCTTATAATAGAAGTAAGAGGAAGTCACAGGGGTATTTCATGCGCCCCTGTCCTCCATATGGATCGCCTCCCCCATTGTCAGCACCCTGCTCCAGAGGCGAGCATCCATGACAGCCAGTGAACCTGACACATCATTGTCACCCAAAGGCCATAGTTCACGTTAGGGTTCATTCTTTTTGTTTTTTATTAAAGATATTTTTGTTGTTATTCTATTACAGTTGTCCCAGTTTTTCCCCTTTTGCCCTCCTCCACCCATCCCACCTCCCACTCCCACAGTCAGTCCCCACACTACTGACCATGTCCGTGGGTCATTCATACATGCTTTAACTAGTCCCTTCCCCTTCTTTGCACCATTGTGCCCCCTCCCCCCAGCTGCTGTCAGTCTATTCCATGTTTCCGTGCCTGTGGTTCTATTTTGTTAGCTGATTTTGTTCATTAGATTCCTCTTATAGGTGAGATCACATGGTATTTAATTTAATTAATTTTTTATTAATTGTATGGTATTTAAGACAAATTAAGATCATTTGTCTTAAACCGACTGGCTATTTCACTTAGCTTAATAGTCTCCAGTTCCTTCCATGCTGTTGCAAAAGGTAGGAGATCCTTCTTTTTTTCTGCTACGTAGTATTCCATTGTGTAAATGGACCACAGTTTTTTGATCCACTTATTTACTGATGGTCACTTAGGTTGCCTCCAGCACTTGGCTATTGTAAATAGCGCTGCTATGAACATTGGGGTGCATAAGTTCTTTTGAATTAGTAATTCAGGACTCTTTGGGTATATTCCCAGCAGTGGAATTGTTAGATCAAAAGGCAGTTCCATTTTTTGTTTTTGAGGAAATTCCATACTGTTTCCCATAGTGGCTGCATTCCCACTAACATACACTAGGGTTCCCTTTTCTCTGTATCCTCTCCAGCACTTGTTGTTTGTTGATTTGTTAATGATGGCCATTCTGACTGGTGTGAAGTGGTATCTCATTGTAGTTTTAATTTTCATCTCTCTAATGGCTAGTGATGTTGAGCATCTTTTCATATGTCCATTGGCCATCTATATGTCCTCCTTGGAGAAGTGTCTCTTCAGGTCTTTTGCCCATTTTTTAATTATGTTATTTGTCTTCCTGATGTTGAGTTGTATGAGTTCTTTATATATTTTGGACATCAGACCCGTGTCTGGTGTATCATTGGCAAATATGTTCTCCCATATGGTCAGTTCCCTTTTTAGTCTGATGATGATTTCTTTAGCTGTGCAGAAAGTTTTTAATTTGATATAGTCCCATTTGTTTATTTTTTCCTTTATTTTCCTTGCCCTAGAAGATATATTGGCAAAAATATTGCTATGTGGGCCTGGCTGGTGTAGCTCAGTGGATTGAGTGTAGGCCTGCGAACCAAAGGGTTGCTAGTTCAGTTCCCAGTCAGGACACATGCCTGGGTTGCAGGCTAGGTCTCCAGTAGGGGACGTGCAAGAGACAGCCACACATTGATGTTTCTCTCCCTCTTTTTCCGTCCCTTCCCCATTTTCTAAAAATAAATAAATAAAATGTTTATTTATTTATTAAATAAATCATTTTAAAAAATATCACTATGTGGGATAGCTGAAATTTTACTGCTTATGTTTTCTTCTAGGACTTTTATGGTGTCATGACTCATATTTAAGTTTTTTATCCATTTTGAGTTTATTCTAGTATTTGGTGTAAATTGGTGATCTAGTTTCATTTTTTTGCATGTAGCTGTCCAGTTCTCCCATCACCATTTATTGAAGATGCTTATTTTTACTCCGTTTTATGCTCATATCCCCTTTGTCAAATATTAATTGACTAGATTAATGGAGACATGGATTTATTTCCTGGCTTTCTGTTTTTTTTCCATTGATCTATGCATCGGTTCTTATGCCAGAACCAGATTGTTTTGATTACAGTGGCCTTGTAGTATGTATAGTTTTATATCAGGTATTGTGATCCCTCCTACTCTGTTCTTCTCCCTCAAGATTGCTGAGACTGTTCAGGGTCTCTTTTGGTTCCATATAAATGTTTGAAGTATTTGTTCTAGATCTGTGAAATATGCCATTGATACTTTAATAGGAATTTCATTGAATTTATAGATTGCTTTGGGTAGTATGGACATTTTAATGATGTTAATTTTTCCAATTCATGAATATGGTATATGCTTCCATTTGTTTGTATCTTCCTTAATTTCTTTCTTCAGTATTATACAGTTTTCCGAATACAGGTCTTTTACCTCCTTCGTTAAATTTATTCCTAGTACTTAATTTTCTTGTTGCTATATAACCCTCCAAATGATTTTTATATCTATAACAATCCTGTTCCTGTTCTGCTTGTTTGCTTAGTTTGTTTTCTAGATTTGGTGGCTAAAGTAAGTGATAGTTGTGAATTTAGTGATAGTTGTAAATTTGTTGCCATTTTAGTATTCATAGTTTTGATCTTCTTTTTCTTTTTGTTTTATTATTGTTCAAGTACAGTTGTCTCCATTTCCACCCTCACTGCTCCCCCTGCCCCACCCATCCCACCTCCCACCCTCAATTGTACCCTCCTTTGGCTTTGTCCATGTGTCCTTTATACATGTTCCTTGATGACCCTTTCCCTGACAAACACTGATCTTTTTCTGTCTCCATAGTTTTGCCTTTCCCAGAATGTCATGTAGTTAGACTCATATAGTATGTAGCCTATTCAGACTGGCTTCTTTCACTTACTGATATGTGTTTAAGATTCCTCCATGTCTTCTCACGGCTCAATAGCTCATTTCTTTTTAGTGCTGAATAATATTCCATTGTCTGAATGTGCCACCGTTTATTTATTCATTCACCCTGGAGTATATCTTGGTTCCTTCCAAGTTTTGGTGATTATGAATAAGTTTGTTCTAAAAATTTACATGCAGGTTTTTGTGTGGCCATAACTTTTCATCTCCTTTGAGTAAGGATCAAAGAGTATGATTGCTGGTTCTTATGGTAAGAATATGTTTAGTTTTGTAAGAATCTATGAAACTGTCTTCCAAAGTGGCTGTATCACTTTGCATTCCCACCAGTAAAGAATGAGAGTTGCTGTTGCTCCATATCCCTGGCAACATTTGGTTTTGTTATTGTTCCATTTTGGCCATTCTAATAGATGTGTAGTAGTATCTCATTTTAATTTGCATTTCCCCGATGGCATGATGTGGAGCATCTTTTCATATGCTTACTTTCCATTTGTATATATATCTTCTTTGGTGAGTTGTGTGTTAAGGTCTTTGACCCATATTTTAATCAAGCTGTTTTCTTATTGTCAAGTTTTAAGAGTTCTTTGTATGTTTTTAATAATGTTCCTTTACGATGTGTCTTTTGCAAATATTTTCTCCCAGGCTGTAGGTCATATCCTCATTCTCTTCACACTGTCTTCCACAGAATAGAAACTTTTAATTTAATGAAGTCTAGTCTATCAAGTTCTAGTTTATCTAATCTTTTGTTCATGGATCATGCCTTTGGTGTTATATTTAAAAATTCATCACCAAACCCAAGGTCTTTAGGTTTTTGCCTATGTTATCTGCTAGGAGTTTTATAGTTTGGCATTTTATATTTAGGTCTGTGATCCATTTTGAGTTAATGTTGGTAAAAGTGTAAGGTCTGTGTTAAGATTCATGTTTTTTGCACGTGGATATCCAGTTGTTTCATCTTTTTTTATTGTATCACCTTTGTCCCTTTCTTAAAGATCAGTTGACTATATTTATGTGGATCTATTTCAGGGTTCAATTCTGTTCCACTGATTTATTCATATATTCTTTCACCAACGCTACACTGTCTTGATTACTGTAGCTTTATAGTAAGTCTTGAAGTTGGGTAGTGTCAGTCCTCCAGCTTTGTTCTTCTCTCACAGTATTGTATTGGCTAGTCTGGGTATGTTGCTTCTCCATATAAACTTGAGAATTGGTTTGTGGATCTCTACAAAATAACTTGGTGGGGTTTTGATTGGAATTACATTGAATCTGGAGGTCAAGTTGGTCAAGAACTGACATCTGGATAGTATTGAGTCTTCCTATCCATGAACATGGACTATCTCTCCATTTAGTAATCTTTTCATTTTTTTCCAAGAGTTTTATAATTTTCCTAATACTGATCTTGTATATACCAACTCTGGCAAAAGTAACACCTGCTTGATTGTGGTTGGTAGGGTAAAAATAGGGGTGTGATAATTTGTAGTCTTAATCTGAATGAATGTTTCACCTAAGATGTCATATGATGTGCTTGAATGTGGTATTATTATGTTATAGAATTACATGCTTCTGATTCTGTAATAAAAAGATTTTATAATAAAAAAAGGGTGTCATTTGTGCCAGACTCTGTGTTTTTGTCAGGTTTATACCTAAATATTTTATTTTTCATTAGCTTTGAAAAATATATATGGTTCTCTTCTCTTACCAGTACATGTAGGTTTGCCTGATTCTTTTAATGAATAGATAGCATCTTATTGTGTGACTATGCTATAACTTATTTAACCACTTCACATTGTGTTCATTTCATATTGATGGACATTTTGTCGTGTTTCACTGTCACCAATAATACGTCAGCAAGCATTCCTGAATGTATGTCTTTATGTAGTCATGCTATTTTTTCTGTAGATTAGACTTTTAGATATAGAATTGCTGTGTTAGAGTTTCCACATTTTAAATTTTAACAGGTGATGCTAAATTACTCTCCCAAAAAGCATGCACCAGTTTAAATTTCCCCCACATTGTTGCCAACTATGAATATTATGGTCTTTTACTTTTATTTGCTAATTAAATATATCTCATTCTTTATTTCAGAGTTTAATTATTTTTATATTTTTAGTTGCATTACAGATTCTTTTGATATTACTTGTTCATTTTTAATTGGGTTGTTTTATTGAGTTATAGGAGCTCTGTGTATATTGCAGTATTAACCCTTTGTATGTTATATACACAGTATATATGTATTGCAAACATTTTATGTTAAGTGCTTTTGCAAAATTTTCCATTTTTCTGTTCTATTTTACTTCTCTTCCAATACCTTCCTCAAAACTAACACTCTACAGTGGATATCAGAGGAGGGTGAGGGCTAGCCAAAAAGCCAGAAAGTATTAAGGTTTGGGAGACAAAGAAATTCATTATTTCTTTTTTTGCATATCAGATCCTAGGGTTGGTTATTGCAGTTATTGCTGCCCAGGGATTTTTTTAGGTTTGAGTTTGCTGTAGGGTCTTCTGCACTTTTGGCTCCATGCAGTGTCACTACTGAGAGTTCTTCTGTTTGTGGATGAGAAACATCAACCCTTGAAACTGTAACTCAGGCTGTGCCACCCCCACACTTGCTTAGTTGAGAATAATCTTACTGTGGTTGAGAATAGAATACTATTCGAATCAGTGCATATGAAAGAAAGGTCATTTGGGGGGAAATCATCACTAATTTTAACTGAGAGCCCTTACATTTTCTTTTTCAAATTGAAAACTTGTGTCTCAGATGTGGTCAAAGGTGAAAAGGTCAAGCCTATATTTGAGGAACCACCCAACCCCACAAATGTGGAAGTAAGCCTGCAGCAGATGAAAGCCAATGATCCCAGCCTCCAAGAAGTCAATCTCAACAACATCAAGGTACCTCATGATGATTGTTGTCAGTCCCTTGATTTAGCATGAGTTTAGAAAACTTAGTGGAGATTACTGATTACCTGTTTGAAATTTTTTGAGTCACTGATTTTGAGGCAGGATTATTCAAAAGAAGCAGAAGTTTTAAAAAAGTGATTTTTAGAATTCTTTGAAAATAATAACAGTTTCTGGGTTAAATATAGTGTATTATTAGTCATCTATTGCTGAATAGCAGATTACTCCAAAACTTACAGTCTTAAGAGAATAAACATTTGCTATTTCACACAGTTTCTGAGTGTCAGGAAGCAGGGATTGACTTAGCTGAGTAGTTGTGGCTCAGTGTTTCAAATGAGGCTGTAGTGAAGTTCTCAGCCAATCATCTTAAAGGTTTGCAATCATCTTAAAGGCTTGACTGGGGCAGGTGGAATTACTTCCAAGATGGTACACTCATGTGGCTGTTTATAGGAAGCCTCAATTTCTTTTTTTTAATTATTTTTATTTTTTTTAAAGATTTTATTTATTTTTAGAGAGGGGAAGGGGTGGGGTAGAAAGAGAGGGAAACATCAATGTGTGGTTCCTCTCCCATGCCCCTTACTGGGGACCTGGTCCGCAACCTAGGCATGTGCACTAGACCGCGAATCCAACCCAGTCACAGGCCAGTGCTCAAGCCACTGAGCCACACCAACCAGGGCAGGAAGCCTCAATTTCTAAGCACATGACCCCCTGCATAGGGCTGCCTGAATGTCCTCACATCATGACAGCTGGCTTCCCCCAAAGTGAGTGATCCAAGAGAAAGAGAACAGTTAGGAAGCCACCATGCATTTTATGACCTATTCTCTGAAGTCATACACTGTCGCTTCCACTCTATTCTATTTGTCAGTGGGCTGTGTCACTCTCTAATGAAGAAGTGTGTGTGTGAGAGACAGAGAACATTGTCTGACATCCCCTTTGTTTCTTCTTCTTGGGCCAATTTCTAGCGTTTAATACTAATAACTGACTTGTTGAGTACTTACTATGTACCAGATTTCTTGCTAAATACTTGAAATTCATTTTCTCATTTAGTCCTTAGAGCAACTTACAGAGGTTAAGATGCTCGCAGTCACAGAACCAGTCCCTAGCACATGCAGGACTTGCAGCAGTCCCTGGCTGTGCCCCACACTGTCTTCCTCCCCAGGGGTCAGCACTGTGCTAAATGCTGTAGAAGAGGGAGTGTGATTCATTTGGTCTATTCTGAAGACCTTATTAGGAGAAAAACACTGAACAAGTAATTAAAACACGATGTGGTAAGGCCCCACATGTTATGGAATTGCAGATAAGGAAAACTTTGAACCTGCCTATGAGAGCCAGTAAATAAAGAAGGTGATATTTTAACTGGGTCTTAAAAGAGTGGGAATTAACCAGAGAAAGGACAAAGAAATTTCCAGGCAAAGGGAAAAGCATATGTAAAGGTATGGAGGAAAGAAAGAGCATGATATATTTTAAAAAATAGCAAGTAGTTCATTCTGGTTAGACTGTAGAGAATGGGAGAAGAGGGGAATATGGCACATGCATTATTTCCCAGTGACCGAAAGGCGATGCCAGAATGTCGCATTGTGTTACATTCCCTCACTGGACACCAAGTGCTGCTGTTGGCTAGGGACGGCTTGGTTGCTGCAAGGTGGGTGATAAGTGTCTTTTAGAGGGATATCTTGCAATTAGTCATCTAAATATATAAATTACTTAAAATCTATGGGTCCTTAGCCTGGCGTAGTGGTGCTGCTAATTGGTTTATAAACTATCTGTATCTTTCCCATTTAGAACATCCCAATTCCAACTCTGAAGGAATTTGCAAAAGCTCTGGAGACCAACACTCATGTGAAGAAGTTCAGCCTGGCAGCAACCCGCAGCAACGACCCTGTGGCAATTGTGAGTGCAGTTCTCAGACATGCAACATGAAAAGATTAAAGTTGTTAGAAACTCTTTAGTTTATTTTATTAACGATTTTTAGATCTGGTAAATTTATTTTCTACACAGCTAATAAACAAAATTAGTTATAATGAGACAATAAAACAGAACCCAGTTGTTGAACACTTTGAATTAAGTAGAATTTTGTTAGCAATACACTTTTAGGAGAAAGAAATGGGATTAAATTAGGCATTTAGCTAAATATATATTTGGATTTCGTTCTGGGCTTAATATAAATTTTCTAAACTTTTGCATCTTTAGTAACATTTTGTCACAATCAGTGGATAGTATAAAACCCCAAATCTTACCAGAACTTGGCACATATGAAAATATTAAAGCAGCCCTGACCATTGTGGCTCAGTAGGTTGGGCATCACCCTGCAAAGTGAAAGTTATCCGGTTCGATTCCCAGTCTGGGCACGTAGTACAAGAGGCAACCAACCTATGTTTCTCCTTCACATCGATGTTTCTCTCCTTCTCTTTCTCTCTCCTTTCCCCTTTCTCTAAAATAAATAAATAAATAAATAAATAAAATCTTTAAAAAATAATAATAATAACAAAGTAACATGTCTTTTGGAAGATCTAAAATACTGCTAAAAACAGACAGTATGAAAGTTATGGTTCTGGCACAGGGTAGATGTTTGAAAAACACTTCTTAAATCAAAGAAGGAGTGTGCCCTCCAACCTCTCAGCAATAAAGAATATTTCCATGATTAGCACTCATGTAAAAGAGAGATTGAGCCACAAAATTGATGTTTTCACCAGCAGTTATTATATATCTAAATTCGTAAGTTGAAAGCAGTTTCAAATTTGAAACCTATTGTTAAATTAGGAAAAGAGCACAACTATATCATTGGTAAAGTGAAATGAACAATTTAAGGATTCTTATCTGTATATGATTTTGTATAATCTCTGCCTTTAAGTAGGTTTGTTTTCAATGAAACAAAAATATTCACAATGCATTTTGTATGAAAGTGACTAAAGGGATGAATAAAGAAATGATTTGTCACTCTTTTTTAATGTATTAGTTAGAGTAAAACGGCAGGGATGGGAATAGTTTATAATCCATTGTCAATACTACTAGTAAACAATCTAAGCTACTCTAGGTTAAAAAGATAACTTTCTAAGTGAACTAAATACATGCCAAATATAATAATCTCTCTGATACTGTTTTTAATGCAACAACTCTATGTGTTGAATGCATACTGTGCAACAAACACACCATACAATTGTGAGGAAGAATTGCTGTCCTTCTGGGTGTGACAGGAAAAGCCGCTTTGGGCTTTACACCAAGATGGCCCAGCTCTCACCTGGATGCCCCCAGATGACTGCCCTTGCAGCCATGCCATGGTCAAGAAAGAATCTCTCTGTGGGCTGAAAACTGCTTAAGAGCTTCAAGACACTTTTCTATGTAAGGTTCAAAAACTGATTCAATGAGGCACTTGAGGGGTTACTGTGAATGTACACAAATTAAATGTATCTGAGACCATGTTATCCCCATTTTACAGATGAGGCAACTGAGGCTCACAGAGGTTAAGTAACAATTTAAGATTACACAGCATGTGATCAAGCCAGGAAGTGAATATAAGTTATCTATAATCAAGTTAAATTCACCATGTGCCAAGTACTTCCTTAGACCCACACCTATAGAAGTGAATATTAATAAAACTTGCCCTCACTGAATGCCAATGTAGAGAAAAGGCTCAAATATGTAATAAATGCTCTTATTATTAACAAAGATGCCCCAGAAAAATCAAGAGTTTAGTACAGCACTGTCCAATAGCAATAAAATGACAGCCACAAATGTCAGCCACCTATATAATTTAAAATTTTCTAGTACCACATTAAAAAACAAAATGCCATAGATGAAATTAATTTTCATTTTAATAGTATATTTTATTTAAACCAATATATTCAAAATAATATTTCAGAATGTAAGTTGAAAATAAGAAATGTTTTACCTTATGTTTCCATATACATCTTTGAAATCCAGAGTATGGTTTACGTATATAGCACATCTTAATTCAGACCAACCATTTTTCCAGGGCTCCATAGCCACCTATGTCTGGTGGCTACCATTTGGATGGCACAGGTTTAGTTAGACCATGCAGAAAACTGCATTCTCACACCGTACTGTGAAGTGCAAAAAGGAAAACTTATGGCACAAGGGACCTGGCCCTGAGTGGGCCTGCCTAGAGCCAGCCAGTAGTGTGTGGGTTCTTGACTTCAAATGCAGGAAAGATTTCTCAACAGGCGTCCAGGTGACTATGAGGGTACAGTTGTTAAAGCTGGGGACAGTGAAATAAGAAAGGGTGTAGGGTAGACAAAGCAACGGGAGAGCCTAGGCTGGGCGGCCTTAGCTCACTGGGAAGTCAGAGAAAAGAGGGCCTCGAGGGCAGGTTCAGGGGATTAGCCTGGAACGAGCTGCCAGCTGCCCATTGCTCCCCTGGTTGCAAGTCTTAGGGTCCCTTAGGGTTTAGGAGATGCCATGCCTGTGAGAGAAGAAGGGAAAGGGAATGGCATGGGCTGCTCCCCAGAGGGAGACTATACTCTGGGTCCTTTGCCCTGAGGCTTTTATCTCTTGCAGGCGGGAATCCTAGGGGAGGTCTCAGGAGAGGTTTTCACCAGAATACGCATCAGTTCTCCAGGTGTGCTCTTTCAGGGTCATGGTCTCCACTGATTGGTCAGTGCCAGGGCAGGGGGTCGTTAGTCATTGGGGCTGGTCCTGGCATTGTCCACTTGGTTTTGCTGCTTTTCTGGGCCTGGAGCTGAAATACAACTGAGGCCTAGATGCTATCCCTAGGGAGGTGACCTGTATCTGGCTGTAAATTGCTTGGCCATTTTTTTCAGCTTTCTGTTTCAGTTGCCCTATTCTACTTGCCAAGGAATGTTCCTAGCTTCTTACTATCTTGCCTCAAAAACTTGTCTTTTTAAAATGTACTTTATTTCTATAACATTTAAGAAATCTAGTTTTTGTTTTACTATTGTTATCATCCCCAGCATATGTAATAGATGCTCAAATATTTGCTGAACTGAAATGAACTTGGGCCTACAGCCCAGGGTTATGTTTGGCTGGGTCTCCCCTGTTTTGTTCAGTATGAGAAAAGTGTTTTCTCAAGTTTAAAAGAAATTGGCAAGATCTGGCTGCTTGCCAGGAAGCCCTGCAGCTTTTTTTTTATAAAGGCATAATTGCTCTGACATTTTTGTTATTCTAATACTGAAAGTAAATCCCAAAGCTTGAAGAGGCCATAAGGTCTGGTGCATTCCTTTCTGGTGCTCTAATTAAAATGTGTACATTTAATTCTAATTAAAGACCTAGTGCTGAACAAATGCACATTAACTTACATGGTATATGCTATAAGGACAGTCCAGATCTTTGAACCTTCTTTGTAGTTCAAGCAGTTGCTTGACTAAAACACAGGATTGTTCTTCTCTTCCAGTGGTTCTCAACTCAGGCAGTGTTGCCCTCCAGGGGACATTTGGCAGTGTCTGGAGGTATTTTTGGCTGTCATTACTGGGTGGGTACTACTGACATTTAGTAGGGCTCCGAGACTGCTAACCCTTCCACACCCCACAACAAAGAATTCCCTGCTTCAAATGTCAGTAGTGCAGAGCCTGAGAAACTCAAGTTGGATTCCTTCTCTTTCTTCTTCATTTTTTTCTCCATAAAAACAATTCAAATAGTTTAGAAATTCCTTGTTCTATTCCCCAGAGCAATCACTGTCAGCTTGTTTTCATTCTTCTAATTGTTGTCGTTATGACTTTAATTAAAGTGTCTGTCAATCCTGACTGATACCATATTAGTCACCTGGAGAGCTTTTCAAAAATGCAGCTATTCAGGCCACCAGATTCTGATTTAATTCATGTGGGGTGGGGCCCACGCATCAACATGTTTGTTAGGCTCCCAGGTCATTCTAATAAGCACTCAGGGTAGAAAAACCCTAATATATATATCTTTATTTTTATTTATCATCTTAGATAATTTTTGATACTCCATTAGAAAAGATGAGAGCATTTCTGAACTCACTTTACCTTCCATCCCTCTTTCCTCTTCTGTCACCAAATTGTAGTTATTCTATTATTTTCACACATTGAAGCATTATACATTTTGTCATTGTATTTCATGTTATATATATAGATTGACTCCAGGATTTAAAACTTATCACTAGCATTTACAATTATCAGACCACTTCAAATGTAAATATAAATCTATTCATATTTATATTTATATATAGTGGTACCTCAGTACTCATCATTAATTTGTTCTGGAACTCGTGATGAGTGCTGAAATCTATGAGTAGCAAGCAAGCAAGGAGTGCTGAAGCATTTCCTTTTGCGGGGCAGCATCGTGACTTACACAAGTGTCAGCAAGTGCGATGAGTCCCAATCGAGCACTGAGTGCTGAAACATTTCTTTCTCGTCAAAATGCAATGAGTACTGGGTTTGATGAGGTCTGAAGCTGATGAGTACCGAGTTCTGACTGTATTCTGTTCCCAAGGGCCTTGAAATCAAGTCACTAATGTTTATCTGATTCTTCTTTCCATGTAACTTACTTTTCCTTGCTAGAGACTTTTAGGACTCTCTTCCCTTAGAGTTCTGAAATTTCACTTGTGTGTGCCCAGTTCTAGCCTCTTTTAATTCATTCTTCTGAGCCTCAGTGGGTTCTTTCAGATAAAGACTTGTAGCTTTCTTCAACTCTGGGAACTTTTTTCCTGTTACTTTATAGTTTCCTCGATTCTTTTGTCTTTTTTGTTGTTGTCTTTGTGAAACTCCTATTGGATGAATGCTGACTTCTTAACACTTCTTAACATTAGTATCTCATAATACTTCTCTCATTCACGATCTTGGTTTTCCTAACCTGTCCAGCAATCACGAGTGGCCCGTTCATGTTTCTGAATGGAGAACGAGTTTGATTTGTGTAAACCGGCATCATTTCCTCTCAAGTTGTATAGACCTCATTCACCACGTGACAGGCTATACATTTTATTCATTACCTATTGATTCTGCCCTCCTGCTCAAATATCAGCTCCCTAGGAGAGGAATTTTTGTTTTCTTTAGGGCTGGAACATAGTGGAAGATCAATAAATAGTCTTTTTTGGATGGATGGGTGGACGGATGAGTGCTTTTGTAAGCAGGCAGGTGAAATGACTAGCAGTCTTCTCTGTAGTGAGTATATGAGGAGCTGGCTGGCAGCCGGGGGTCCCCACAGCTGCTGCAGTTAGGAGGGCTTCACTCTGCAGGACTATTTCATCCTAGGCAATAGCTGCCTCTCCCGGCCTTTCATCCACACTATCTGACAATGATCTGGAGGTGCCTCAGTATCTGCACTGCTTCTCTCTATGGTCCTAGCAGCTCCACTAGAGGCTCGTCCTGGGAGATTTTCCACTGATAGATACGCCAGCAGGTACTCTTTTGGGGGAAGCCACAGGGAGGGAAGGTGTGCTCTCCACCTGCTCTACTTGTTCCGTCTGTTCTTGAATGAAATGGCCCTGTCGGAACTTCCTCCAGCATCTTAAGCAGCTTTGTGCTAATTTCTCCCCCAGTCTCTTTTCTGTATTTTAGCAGTTCTTCAAGATAATGACCCTCTTTTTTGTTGTTGTTATTGCACTGTGAGAGTTTCAGTTGCTTAAAAATTATATCTGTTCCTCATGAAGGGGAAACCGGGGAGCAAGGGGACCGAGCAGGTGAATGTGTGCAGTCTGCAGCCATGAGCCGGGAGTCTCCCAGGGTTTGCCATGCTGAGTGATGACTTTGTCCAGAGTTGTCTTTGAGGAATTCTGATCTCTGGATGACCTGAAATAGTATGACTAAATCAGTAGTGCCTGAATGCCAGCCAGTGGTAAATTTTGTTTAACCTATTCATACTGTAAGACCAAACTAAAAATCTTCTGAAGTTATGTTCTTTGCACATATTTCCTAATGTTAAAATGCCTTTTCTCAAAAAAATTTTGATAATGGTAACAGATGGCAGTGATTTTTTAAAAAATGTCCTTACTTAACAAAGCAAAGTTGGTAATTCTGTGTTGGTATCTTTCTTTTTTTTTAATTTTGCAGATATGTGAAATTCATAAATCTGAGCTGCTGGACTAAACAATTTTTTGAGTTGTAAATTATTATCTTTGTTATTTGGAGGTACAAGTATGATTAAACTAAGGTTTTAAGTACTGTAAAAAATACTTAATTTGGGGGTGGAGAGTTCAGGAAATAAATCTTTAGCAACCCTAACTGTTATTGTTATTATTGTTTTGCATAATAAGGCTTTTGCAGATATGCTGAAAGTAAACAAGACCTTGAAAAGTCTAAACATAGAATCCAATTTTATAACCGGAAGTGGGATCCTGGCCCTGGTGGAGGCACTAAGAGAAAATGACACCTTGACAGAAATCAAGATTGACAACCAGGTAAGCTGCCTCACAGGGCTCATGTGAAAGGAATGCCACCATGGAGTGAGGTAAAAGACAAAGCTACATTGCTCGATTTGATATTCTGGCTTTCCTATAAATTACAACAACTTATGGCCTACGGGGCAAGTGGGGGAAAGCATGTTAATAATTAAGCAATGCACAGTTGGGCAGCCTGAGACATAAAGAGCCGGAAGGCCCCCAGCCCTGGGCTATCAGGCACTGGAGGAGAAAGAGAGGAGGTGGGGGCCGAGGTGTGACAGCTGCTTTGTTCAGCCATCATCACTGTTGCCTCTTAGCAGGAATCAGCACATTCCTGTCCCAGCCTTGCTGTTGCCTGTCACTGGGACTACGGATACAAGGAGAAATCAGAGTGGCCACTCCCAAAGACAGAATTCTTGTCCCTGGATGAAGGTTGCTGGACCTAAAAGAAAGAGCACACCAGGTTCTTGCAGTGTGGTGCAGGCCACAGAGCCCATTTAAAGGAATTCAGGTTCTAGAAGATGGCCTGGCTCAGAATAGCACCAGTCCTCATGCACAGTGCAGTTGCAGTCTCAGCTTTGTGGCTCCATTTCTCGGGTTCCCATCAGCAGCCAAAGCAAGCTGCTTTTCCCTGGAGAACTTCCAGGGACACTTCCTGTCCCCTGAAGCACTCTCTTTTCCAGCATCAGCCTGCAGTGCCTCTGGAGTTGCTCTGCTGGCTTCAGCTGGCTCCTGCCCACAGATAGCACGCCTCAGTTCTCAGCGCGACGCTGTGCCCTGCCTCTTTGGCTACAGGGAAGTGTCTGCAGTGGGAATTGGTGAATCTGAGGGATCTAGACACTGTATAGTAGGAAGAAAGGGCCCTGGAATGGAACTAAAAAGAGGAGACAGCCAGGAGACTTGCGCTGTGAGCATTCCCCTGTGGGCTAGTGGGAGGGACAGTGGGGAAAGTGCCTATTGAGAGTGTCCCCTGATGTCTGGGAAACTTCCTGGTCCAGATCCTACAAGATCTGATAAAGCCTGAGGGTTCTACTCAGGACTTTTGCCTGGCAACCCAAACCAGGTCCCATGGACAGCTCTGCTCTCCCTTTTGCTAACCAGGACAAGAGGACTGACTGGTCAGTACCTGCCCTCCTCCTGAGGCTTGTTGCCAGGGGAGCAGGGGAACCCACTAGGAGACAGGCAGCCTTCCACACCCTGCCCAGGAGGGATGAGTCACCAGAACAGCTTTCCAAACGCAGAGGTGTGGAGGGGAGCACAGGGGGCTGACCATACACATTCAGGGGAAGCTTGATGCTGTGTATCTTGGTCTGCCTCCAGCTGCTAGTACATTAAGAAAGAGCCCTCAAGGAGTGGGAGAGCAGGAAAACAAGCTAGAGAAAAATATGAAAAGGAAACAAGTGTTGGTTCAGGGATATTTATCGAACAGATTAAGATAAGGAAGAAGTTGAGGGCTCTTAGTAAATATTCCCAGGAGATCTAAGACAGAAGTGGACACTTTATTCCAAAGCATATTTAACTTTTTGTGTTGGTTTAGGTCATGGTGAAACCTCATGTCTGAAATAATGTTCCAGATACTCTGTTCCTAGTTCCTTGTAAAATATTATCGAGTTAAGGTTGCCAGATAAGATACAGTTAAATTTGAATTCCAGATAAGCAACAGTTAATTTTTAGTATATGTGTGTCCCATGAAATATTTGGAACATATATCTACTGAAACGTTATTTGGTATTTATTGAAATTCACATTTAAATGGGTGTCGTATATTTTTGTTTGCAAAATCTGACAACCTCGTACCTAGTGAATGAGCTAAAACCCTAAAATGGTAGAATAGAGCAGGTTTTCGTAATGCGTGTGAAGAAGACCCTGAAGTACAAAGTCTCCCTTAAATCCCCTCCAAAGCATAAACCTCATCATCCCTCTTCAGTCATCTAGGAAAGGCTATGTGTAATTTTTCAGCTTTATTTTTTTATTATATTTTATTGGTTATGCTGTTACAGTTGTCCTGATTTCCACCCCCATTGCCCCCCTTCTTCCTCACTCCCTCAGGCAGTACCCCCACCATTCTTCTTGTCCCGAGTCATGAACATAAGTTCTTTGGCTACTTCATTTCCTATACTGTACTTTACAGCCCATGGCTATTCTGTAACTACCCATTTATACATCTTAATCCCCTCCCCTCTCCCCCCTCACCCATTCCACCACACCCTCTTTACCCCACACGTCTTCCTGCACACCCGTCCCTTCACCCGCTTCGGTCTGGTGACAATTAAAACACTGTATCCATGATTCTGTCTCTGTTCTTCTTGTTTGCTTAGTTTGGTTTTTAGATTCAATTGTTGATAGATTTGTATATTTTGCCATTTTATTGCTGATAGTCTTGATCTCTTTCTTAAACAAGTCACTTTAACATTTCATAAAATAGTGGTTTGGTGATGATGAACTCTTTTAGCTTTTTCTTGTCTGGGAAGCTCTTTATCAGCCCTTTGATTCTAAATGATGGCTTTGCTGGGTAGAGCAATCTTGGCTGTAGGTCCCTGCTTTTTATCTCTTTGAATATTTCTCACAAATCCCTCCTAGCCTCAAAGTTTCTTTTAAGAAATAAGCTGACAGTCTTATGGAAACTCCACTGTTGGTAACTAACTTCTCTTCTCTTGCTGCTTTTAAGATTCTCTCTTTATCTTTAACCTTTAGCACTTTAATTATGATGTGTCTTGGGGTGTAGATCTTTGCATCCATCTTGTTTGGGACTCTGTGCCTTCTGAACTTGCATGTCTATTTCCTTCACCAAATCAGGGGAGTTTTCTTTCATTATTTTTTCAAATAGATTGTTAATTTTTTGCTCTCTCTCTTCTTTTCTGGCATCTCCTGAAGTTGTCCCAGAGGCTGCTTATATGATTATGATTTCTTTTTTTTTTATTTTTACTTCTTCTTGTTCTGATTGGTTGTTTTTTCTTCCTTATGTACCAAATCATTGATTTGATACTTGGCTTCATCCACTCTATTGTTGTTTCCCTGTAAATGTTCTTTATTCCATTTAGTGTATCCTTCGTTTCTGACTGGATCTTATTTATGCTGCTGAGTTCCTCACTAAGTTCCTTGAGCATCTTTATAACCAGTATTTTGAACTCTGCATCTGACAGATCACTTATCTCCATTTTGTTTAGCTCCTTTTCTAGAGTATTGATTTGTTCTTTCATTTGGGCCATGTTTCTTTGTCTCCTCATTTTGGCAGCCTCCCTGTGTTTGTTTGTATGTATTAGTTAGAGCTGCTTTGACTCCCTGTCTTGGTAGTGTGGCCTAATGTAGTAGGTGTCCTGTAGGGTCCAGTGGCACAGCCTTCCCTATTACCCCAGCTGGGTACCTGAGGTGCACCCTTTGTGTGGGCTGAGTACACCCTCCTCTTGTAGTTGAGCCTTGGTTGCTGTTGGCACATCAATGAGAGGGATTTACCCAGGCCAGTCAGCTGCAAGGATTGGCTGTGACCACTCACCACCAACCTCTGCCCTCTGTGTACACTCAGCTATGCAGAGGCAGAGTGGTGGTTCCCTGACGTGGTCTGTAGCTGTCTTCTAGGTGCGCTGGCCCTGTAGTTTCCTGGGTGGTGCAGGCCAACGTCAGCCCTCACCTGTATTTTGCCTGGGCCACCCTGCCTGAGCTATAAAGGAATCTGAGATGGCTGCAACTTATGCTGGGCTTGGAGATTCCCAGGAGAAGCCAAGCTGTGAATCTAGGCTGGCTGCTGCTAGTGCTGGGCCTGGGGCTCACTGAGGCCAGTGGTTGCTTTTTTGAGAGGATTTAGGAAGGTGTGCAGCATCAGCCAAGACCAGCTATTTGTATGGAAAAGTAGCTTGGGTGGGCCCTGTAAGTTAGATGGGGTAGAGTTTCTGGGGATCTTCAAGGCAGGTCAAACAGTGTTAGCCAAGTTGATTGAATCTTAGATACAGCACCAGTCTCCTGGCTCAGTTCAGGGAGGGTTTAGAAAAGCAACAATGGCCTCTGCTCACCTTGATATCAGACACTTCAGTTTTTCCCTGCATGCCACTGATGCCGTTCAAGGTGCCACCCAGGTGCTGGAACTCAGAGGAGTTGATTTTGAGTAAGTGAGTGTGTGTGTGAGTTTTTTAAGAGGAACTTCTTGGGGCTACAGAAGTTTCTTCCACTGATGCAATCCCCGCTGGTTTTTGCAGCCAGAAGTTGTGGGGACTTATTTTCCTCTCCCTGGAACCCTGGGCTCCAGGGCCTTGTGTGGGGCTGGGGGTCTTTATTCCCAAGATATCCCTCCCGAATTTTTATCCACCACACTTGCGTGAGGGACCAGCCTGTTCCACATTTGCGCCCCTTCTACCAGTCTGGATGGATGTGGTTTCTTTAATTCTGTCATTGTCGGACTTCCGTTCAACTCAGTTTCTGAAAGTTATGAGTGATGGTTGTTCTGTATTTTAGTTATAATTTTGATATGCCTGTGTGAAGGAGCAAGCCATGTTTGCCTGTGCCGCCATCTTGACCAGAAGTCCTACTTTTTCAACTTTAGTCCCCCAATGTGCCTCTGAAATGACATCTCTTTACTTATAACGAGAAAGAGAATTAAGTTCTAGATCTGGAAAATGCTTTGTTTTCTTCTAAGGATGAGGAAATTCAGAGTTGATACTTGATTCCCACCCACAATTTTGTTCACTGACTCAGACTGTTAGAAGTAAATCTCAGTTTCCTCATGTGTCTAATGAAGGGTTTGAAATAAACTGATCTCTAAGACAGTTTCCTCAGGCGGGGTCAACAGCTGAGACCCATTTGGCATCATTGTGGCAGGCACCTGCCCCAGAATGGAAGCCTGCTGAGAACCTGCCCCTGCACGGGCCCCAGGTAAAAACACGCAATGACTTAACGGAGCGCCCTGTGAGAAGAACAAATGGTGATGCATATTCACGGCTAAATAAATTTGAGTAGGGAAAAGAGGTTACTTAAAGAAAAAACAGAAAGTTATCTTAAGAAATGTATGCATAAGCTTCTGTTTCTTTTTTCTTTGTATTTAGTGGCTTAAAAAAGAGAAACATACTATCCCAATTATAGGAGGTTTTGGTGCCCCTGTGTTGCCCTGTTTATACAACACAAAAGACCTCAAATCAAAGAAAAAAGATTCAGGCTGAGAAAGAAAGATGCTCTATGTTATATTACTTCATCCCCTTCTATTATCTGTCCCCTCCCAATACAATTTTCTTCAGCTTGTTTATATCACCATCAGCATGCCATCCTCTAAGTTGCCAGGTGCAGGACTCCAAAAGCTTGAGATTTGTGAGGAAGTAAAGAGACTGTTTATCTTCCCTCTCAGTCAGTGCACCATAAGCTCTTGCTGCCAGTGGGTAGAACCCCTTTGCCCAGTCCAGGGGCATAAGCCGAACTCTGGCAGGCCCAACCTTAGCTTGGGTCTCGGTCCTTAATACAGTCCCATTGTCTGAAAGTGTGTCATGACTTAAAGTTGCTTATGAAACTATGAGGTCAGTAGCTCTTACATTTTTGCTACTTCTCCCTCCCATAGACTCACATTGCTTAGAATGCTAATCTCTACCCTGTGCATTCTCGAAACTGTTGTCTTACTGGAAGTACCACATTCTGTGAATATTTTGGTAAGAGACTTGTTTGTCAGGTTGTTGGATGAAAAGAAAGATGAAGAGCAAAGCCTAAAGCCCTAGAACTTGCCTAGGACAAAAAACTTCCTCCATACATTTTTCTCCTTTATCTATTCCATACTTAAATTTTCCAAATTTAAAAGGTATATATATATATTTTTTTAAAATATATTGTAAAGCAATCCAATTGCATGATACTGGCACAGAAGTAGACTGGCAGAGTAATAGAGTCCAGAAACACTCAAGTATACCTGAGAATTTTGCAGCAAAGTGTTACTTCAAATGATGGAGGGGAAAAATTAAGTAATAGATGGTAGGGAAATTTGCTAGCATTTTGGAACAAAATAAATTTCATGTTCTATTTTAATTCTTATACTAAAATTCATCTCAGATGAAATCAAGGTTTAACTATTACAATATGCAAAATCATAAAACAATTGGAAAAACATCAGTAGAGACTTTCTAAACATGACATAAAATATAGATTGATGAATTTGACCATATGACCATATAAAGGCCTTTATAGTACTCCAGAAGAAAGACAAATTGATCAAAGTATTTTCAGCAAATATGGCAAAGAGCTAATTTCCTAATATATAAGAAATTTACAAGTCAATAAAAAATATCCAGGAACTGTATGTAACCTGGGAGAAAAATGGACAAATCACAGATATTAGTAGTTTCCAAAAAAAGAAACACAAATGCATGAGAAAATTGTTCTTATTCATCATTTGAGAAAAGCAAATTAAAGCTATTAAATGTATACAAGTGAAATATAAGTTGCACCTACTATATCGACAAAGGTGAAGATTGGTAATATACCGTGCTGCTTAGGGTAGGGGAAACAGTAACTCTCAAACACTATTAGCAGGAGTAAAAATTGTCATAACCTTGGAGGGTAACTTAGTAATGTATCTAAAATTAGAACATGCTTACTTTTGGACCCAGCCAAAATTTGCCCTCCAGGTGCACTGGCAGAAACTGGCCAGCATCTAGTGTGTGTGCAAGGGAAGATCCCTGCAGCATTGTCTGCAAGGTAAACACGGAAGGCAATGTACCAGTCAGTCCCTAGGACCTGGCTGTGTAAATTATGATTCATTACTATAATGGAATGCTCTGCTGTTGGGTGAGGTAAACGTATATTTACCAACATGAAAAGGTGGGACTAATGTTAAATGAAAAATGAAAACCTATTTCAGACAATATGCTAGTAGAATCCATTTCTGTGAAAAAAAATTGTACATGTAGAAGAGATTACATAAATATGTGAATGCATAGAAAATGTTTAAAGACTACATACTATATGCTAAACTGGCTTCCTCTGGGGAATGCGAATATTAGGGTAAGGGAGCTTTTATATTTTATACACTTCCTTTGTTTTTTTCTAAACAAGCCTGTATTTTACTTTAAAATACTTAATGTATATATTATGAAAAAATATACTGTGTCCCTTAAAGTTAATTTTAAATTCTTAGTTTTATATGTCACCATTTTAAAAAATCTACTTTTAATATTTGTATTATTCTATGTCTCAACTTAAAAGACAAACAAATCCTCTTTTCAGAAACATAAAACACTCGGAGTTTTTTTAGCCCAGGAACTTCTTTGGTATTTGAGAACTCACCTGGCTGGGGTTCTGACCACAGTAAAGCCTCTTGAGAATCTCCGAGTAAGACTCTCCTGAGAGAGAATGGCACAGTTATTGATGGTCTTCAATTATTTTTGGATATGAATCCCAGAATAGAAAATTCATCAATCATATTGATGGCTACAAGACAGTTTCACTATTTAAAAATACCTGTTTGAAGTACAGATACTGGGGGGGCGGGGGGGTAAATTACACACACCAAGTAGTAGTTTTGCTGTAATTTTACATCTGGTGTCATCTTTTCCTTCATAAATTATTGACTTAATCTTCTCAGGTTAGCATGCTAGTAGATTTGACTGTCTGTTGGGTTTTGCTTCTCAGCAGGGAGCAAATGAGGACGGGGGAGAAAATATGTCCAGCTACTTTGCCCATTCAGTTGGAGATTTTTGCCTCTTTGCTTTTTCTGTCCAACAAGTAGCCATGAATCTTTCCCACACAAGTAACTCTTTCCTCTTTCTTCTTGTCATGCCATGTATGTGTCTGCACCTGTGACCAGAGACAGCAATTGGGAACAGCTGTAGAGATGGAAATTGCCCAGATGCTTGAGGAGAATTCAAGGATCCTCAAATTTGGATATCAGTTTACCAAGCAAGGACCAAGAACAAGGGTGGCAGCTGCCATCACAAAGAATAATGACCTGGGTAATGCAACCATAATTCATGCTATTAGCTCTCAGAAAAGCATGATGATCATGCATTTCTCCACTTCACATATAACACTCCTCCATTCCACTGGCCTTCAGTGCCGGCCCGTCAGCAAAGGCACGCTGTTCCATGGTCACAGGAACCCTCCTCATCATCACAGTGTTTAAGTTCTGTTGTAGCGCTCTCTCAGGAATGGTTTGTTCTGTTTTCCAGACAGCCTGTGATTTGTGCTTGGTTTCCTTTATGTGTTGCATCTCCTTTACTTACTTATTACATGTAATTGCCCTTTGTTGTTATCCACACCAGAAGGTGGATGGACACAGTGATATGGAAATTCCCAGTTCACTTACATTTGATTCCTGACAGTGCCCTGTACTTGGGTTTAAATATGGCTATGTCTGATACTTTGGTAATTTACACGTGGAATGAATTAATGGAACTATGATATGAAGGTAAACTCAGAAGTAGCTTTTTCAGTAGGCTCTCCTTAATCTTTCCTGCTGTCCGCTCTTTGCTGAGAATCTGTGGCATTTCTTCTGTTAGAATGAGGTGGAGCATGTCCTAGTCAACCGCAGTACAGAATAATGGGACAGATTGGAAAGGCTTGATCTGGGGTCATCCCAGCCACCTGAAGCAGCATGGCAAAAGGACATCCAGGTGCAGACAGTCCACTTGGCCAGCAGTCATCCATAGCAGGCTTCAGTCCCCTGTTTGAAGTTCAGGGTCAGAATGCCAGACCTTAGACAGGGGAACTGGGCACGCTATTCCACCAAGTACAGTGCTGGCCATGGGGAGGATTCAGATAGTGGACGAGGCAGAAGCTTAAGATAGAAGGGGGCAGATAAAGGTTAGTGTCCAGCTGCCTGCCCACACATGCTTAGCCAAGACCCTGAGGCCCAGCCAAGGTGCAGTGTGTGGCATCTAGTGGCTGGCCAGGCATGTGGCAGCTCTTGCCTTCGGGGTGCAGAGGCTGAGGAAGCAGCATCCCAGCAAATGGATCTTTGGGGAAGGGTGGAGGTAACAGGTGGGAGGCATCTAGGAGAAGCAGAGGGGGCCCACAGCTGAACAACATGGAGGCCAAAGGAAAACAGGCACACCACACAAGGGGTCTGAAGTAACCGGGGAGGCCATCCTGAGCCCAGGAGCAGTAGCTATGGGCTTCACCTTCGGTAGGCTGAGCCATTTAAAGAGGAGAAATGGGGCAGGACCACAGCCAGGGCACCATTTTTGCCAAGTTCAGGAAGCCTTCCTGCTACCCATCAGAAGAACCTGCAGGTGGAGGAGTGAAAGAGGGAAGAATTGGCTTGCAGATGCTGGGAATGGGCAGCCAGGCAACTTCTAATCTCAGCTTGCTTGCCATCTGAATCACCCCCCACCCCCGGTGGTTGATTCTTAGGAGGTTTTATTTAAAACAGGCTTAGAAATTTTGATTTCCAGTAGCAGACCCTCTTGGTCTTCAGGCTATAATCAGAATTAACAGATTGTGAATGTGACATCCTGCAGCATTGGTTAAAGCCAGTTGGTGACTGGGCTGCACAGAACCTGAGAATGTGGGCTGTGGATGAGTGACCCAGAAATTACTTAGAAGTTCACTCCATTGTGGATCTATTCTGGACCTTCTCCATAGAAATGGGAAAGTGCTAACATCCAAATTCTGAACTATCAGACATAGGTTTATTTAAATGCACATCTCATAAGACACTGTTTTTTCTATCATTATTGGGAATGATAGAATAATCCAGTAAATAATTGAGTATTGAAATTTAAGATAACTGTATCTTCAAGGGTGTGGGATTGTTATTCTCTGTGATTAATGTTGTTTCTCTGAAATTTAAGGAGTATTCCTTCACTTTGTCTTTTTAACCTTTATTTCTTTTTTATCTAGTTCGTAAAAGGCGAGTTGAAGGAGACCGAAGGTAAATTTCTACAAGAGGTAAAGGTTCACCACGGCAGCCGTTTAAAAACGAACAAAAACTCTTCTCCTTCCCCACCGGGACCATTTTATCAAAGGTCGTTCATTTTCGTTAACCACACAACTAATAATTTAGTTGTTATTCTTTTTTAGCACTCCTTATTTATCTTGGGTTTTTTAAGATACACAGTAGTTTTATTTGCTCATGGGCGCCTCTGGCAACTTGCACCTGTGGACATATGCGGATCTGTAGAGGATGACAGCAGTGGAAAATGATTTCACAGCTTTCGTGTTGGGTTGTGTTACTTTGTTACATAGACTTTTTTTTAACCACTGAAAGGAGTTTAGTAGATAAGTGTGTTTGTAACTGTGATTATGATAGAGGCCTATCTCTGTTTACATGCATGGCTTTGAGTTAGGCTAAGTATATCAGAAGTATTCTGCTGACCACAGAGTAAGTTAGTATTGCCAATCTTTCACTGGATGAGAAAATGTGACTCAACTTAGCACAACTTCTCTGAGTTCCAGAAATGTCACTAAATGCAAATGCGCCCGCAGATCAGAAATCAGTGATGTCATCTTCATAAAAACAAGACAGCATTATGATACTTTAACACAGCCTTACTAAATAAGTAAATAAAATGGTTATTAACCCATAAATATAGCTTCCAGCCGTACTCACAGGCAGCAAAATGAACTGCTACATCTACCTTCAGTGATTATTCACCATAAATGCAATCTTTAACATGACTCTCTGATGGATAACTTTTCACAAAACTGTTTGAAAGTTTTCCAGACATGATGGTTATTTTTAAATATTAGTAAGAGGAAGACTTAAAAAAGTACATGCCCAAATAAAACAATGATTGCACCTTAATCAAGGCTGTCTGATACACACAACTGCATTATTTTGGCATATTTTAGAAGCATTTATTGCTTTTTCTTTAGTGTAACAAGATCACAGTATGAAATGAGAACATTCGAGTTAATTATACAGATTTTTGTCTACGCGGCATGACCCATCCAGACATTTGCAAACGTCAGGAGAAAATGTGAATTATCACTTACCCAGGTGTTTGTCATCTCAAGAATGAGAGCCGGGAAAGCACAACTGAGATGATTGCACGACAGTGAGCATTAATCTTCTAACCCAGAAGCGCAACTCGCAACCTGCACTAAGGAAACAGGTCTTTGCTAACTCGCTGCCCAAGGCTGTCATTGGTGGCACTCTGACAAGTAGCTTACTCCCTGCTCTCCTCCCGTCCTTCCAGCTCATTCTCTTTTCTCGCCTCTGTAATTTGAGCCTTGGCAAAGTTGGCTTCCTTTGTGCTGGCAACACCTGGAGCTAGAGAGGTACTGATTCTGGCAGAAGGTGGGTCCAGTCCAGGATCTGTTTAATAATTGAGTGTTCCCAGAGTTGCTTGAGAGCAGTACAACCAGTTAATGTAAAACAATTCACATATTATTCTAGTTAGTTTGTAAAGCACATGGAAATCGTTTAGGATAGGCAGCCTTTCTCAAATTAGACCTTTACCTGTGTTTCAAGTAGTCACATCTGTAGCTCTAAAATCCTTTGAAACATCTCATTTTCTTGAGAATGTTTTGCTTTTTTTGTGAGGGACTAATGAGCAGAACATGTTGACATTTTTAGAACTCCGAAGTCTTTAGTTTTTTTTTACCACATCTCCCTATCTATAGAAAAAGTACAGTGCATATTATTTAATGGTTTTCAGTCTGATTTTTACCTTCCCTTCTAATCACTTAGGTGTGGAAGGTTGGAGCCAACTTATACAGGCTGACTGATGATTAAATTTTCAAGAATTTTGCAGATTATTAAACACAGCCATTATAAAAATTAAATGACATACACTTACAGTTAAATATGTTGTATTAGAAACAAAAGTAGTGCTCAAAGATTTTACTGCTTTCTGGGCTCCTAAAACTGCTGGCCCTGTTGTGTCTATGTGGCAGACACTGCGTGACGTTGTGCGGTTCACACCTCTTCCAACCTCAAGTTCGGGGCCTCTTGTTGCTGGTTTGGAATTGGCCGTGGTGGGAGTATTTATACCAAGGAAGTTATCAAATATTATAAGTCAGGGCTTTTCTCCACTAGGTTGCTGGTTTATAAACATTCATCAGCAACGTATACAATTTTTTTGGGTGTACATAAGTTTTGGTTACCATGTTGCCAAAGGGAAAAACATTTCTCTTCTCTGTCTCCCTCCTATCATTTTAGATTCAATGCAGATATATTTAAGTGCTGAGTCCCTGGCATGCCCCTTCTAGTAAGGCTTTTTCCTTTCTTTTCTCATTCACTCTCTTTCTTACCTTTACCCCAAAGAAAAGTTGGATTCTACAGAGTATCTTCTGCGGCCCCCAGGTGCTGTATGTAGACTGGGGGCTGAAGCAGCTTCCGACAAACGCTGGCAAAAGCAAGAAAGAAAAAATCAGAATTTGATTGTAACTGTGCTGCAGTTGTTGATAGTATTAAAGTAAGATAATGGGGTATTATCAAAATTTAGCACTATTTCAGCTTGTAAAATAGTTGGGTCACATGTAATAGAGTCTATGAAATCAAATATTTATTACTAATCATTTTATCTTAGTATTACCTGTGTTTTAAAAGTAGCTTGAAAGGTGACATTTTCATGAGTATTCACATAAGTATCCTTATGTTAAAGATAACTATTAGAAAATAAACTTACATTTTGGGATCCTTACATTTGGGATCCTAAATAACTTAATTAGCCTAGGACTTCATCTCTCCATCTGCCCAAAGTGGGCACGTAGAAGCTCATTCACGATCTTGGTGGTGCATAATGTATATAAAATATTTTTATACATATACGTCTTGCCAAATACTATGTTGAGATATTTGGCGACATCTGGACATCTGATTGAAGGGAGATAATCTCTGCTCAGACCACCTCCTTCCCTCTTGTAGACCTGTACAGGCCCACATCAGGTCATAATCACTCTCCTGGGCCTGCAGCCTTGTATCACATGACTCCTTAAAGGTGGCTTTTCGGAGATGAATTCTGGAAGTCTGGAGGTCATGTCAGTAGTCCAGCAGTGCATCCCCCATCTTATGGAAGTGTGTAATGGAAGCTGTTTCATCGTCATCAGCATGATTAAATCCCTTTCATCTTGGTAGGGCCTCATGTAAATAAATGTAGTGTGTGTGTATGTGTGTGTGGCCAAATATCTAACTAATATCTAACTGGGTGTTTGGCCACCTCTAGACATCTGATGGAAGGGTGTGCTCTCTCCCCAGCTCCATGTCCCTTGTCATTTTTAGAGTTGCTGCAGGCCCAGGTTAATGTGAAGTCACTCCCTGGACTTGAAGGTTGCCAACCACCAAATTTTACAGTATGTATGGACAGTAACCTTAGGGAATAAATATTAGAAACCTTGAAATCATTTCATTGTTTTAGTCCCAAATCTCTCCATATGCCTAAAGCGTGTAAGTAGAAGCTCTTTCATCTTCATTAATGCAATCCAGCCCCGTCCTTCCATCTGTGTTAGGGTATACCATATAAACGTGTATATATATTTTGTACATAAAGATCACCAAATACTGGAGGAAGCTATTTGGCTAAACTTGGACAACTGATTGAAGGGAGATGCTGCCTCCTAGTCCTACTTCCCTTATACCCCTCTCAGCATTGCTACAGGCCTCCATTAGGCAAGAGTCACTAACCTGGAGAGGCATGTGCAGCTCACCTGTCTGAGAGCGCACAGTTCATTGCGCAGTAAAAGCCCATCTCCATTTCAAAATTCAGAAATCCCAAATGCCTATGTTCCTCAAAGCAGCTTCCCTTCCAGACAGAAACGTGGTCCCTGGCAGGGCACCAGCAGTAGGGAAACCAGTGTGCTCTGAGTAACTGCCATGAGAACCTTTCAGTCCCTCGCACTTGAAACCTGGTGTTAAGTAAGCATCAGCATGCTATAAATGTAAGGTGGCCCTTTAAATTCACAAAAGAATTTGCAGATATTTCCCTTTTTCGTGACCGTGATGTACTTAGCCCTCTCTTAGTCACTGTGAAGGAGACAGAGGAAGTACAAAGCTCTGGAGTGATATAATTTGATACACGTTTCTTGGACTTTGAGGGTAGAGTGCCTTTTTGCAAAGCAGACACCATCTTTAGTGCAAGTTTTTATAGCATCAGCAAAAACGGGCAGGGGCAGTAAGATGTGAATACTAGGTTCTGTGGTATGTTACCTGTACTCAGTGGAACTCTTTCTGGAATCAGGTTTTAAGTCATGATCCTGAAGGTTCCTTCCTCTCGTACACTAATGATGTAGTAATAGCTACTTTCATTTTAATGAGCAGGGAACAAAGATGAAATGTTTTAGCTCTGCCTTCCAGTAGCAGTTTTCCCTTGTTGTACCTCATTTCAAGTCTCCTCATCACATACTGTACCATCTTCAAAACTAAAGGACTGAGACACATGCAAAGAGAAGGTGTGAGAATGATGGGAGCGTCAGGCTGAGCCCTCTGGATGAAAATCACATGACCATCCCCCCTACCCTTACCTACCCCCACCCCCCCCACCCCCCGTGCCCCCTGCAACAAACTAGAAAGAGAAAAGTACCAGGACCCAGGATGGATTCCTTGTTTCTTGCTACCAACTCTGGATTAGATTGGATTTCGTTTGTGGTTCAGGAGTTGGGTAAAGTAAAGAGGCTGAGTGAGGTGGAGAAGGAAGATGGAAATTAGAGGTTTTAACTTGCGTAATGGCAGAAGTAAGCTCTGCTCAGCTTATGTCTTTCCCAACTGCTGATAACATCAGTGATTGAATATTCAGTGGGTGAATGGAGGTGGAGTTCCAGGGTCTAAACTGGGAAACTGCCTCTGGGTACAGCTCTAGAAAGACTGTACGGGTACCAGAGGTTGTCCCAGTTTTGTGATGCATCATTGACTTGGGGGAAGGTGAAGGAGGCTAGACATTTCTCTGGTATCGTCCGTGGCAGTCATTCTGAGCACACTGGCTTTGCTGGTTGGTATGGTGAATGGGCACCACACTGACAGATTAGAGACTGACTCCTAATTCCGTCACCAACACTTAGCAGGTATATGATCATGGGCAATTCATTTAATTGCCTGCCAGTTACAGACTGTACAGGGGGAAGAGCACTGGATTTGGAGTCAAGAAACCTGGGCACTTGGCTCCATGCTTTCTTAGCTGGGCGACTTTGAGGCAAGCCACTTAGCCTCTCAAGTCCAAGCTTATTCAGCTATATTATAATGGGAATAATATCTTCACTAACTACCTCACAGAGTTGTGGTGAGAGCATAATAAGATAGTAAGATGAAAATACTATACTGGACAGGATTATACAAAAGTGGGAGGTCATTTTTATCATCTCTTTACTAATGTTTTCCACTGCCTCTTGAATCTGTTTTCTTCTGAGCAACAATTATGTCTTCCTCATGTTTTGAGTAATGAGTATGGCAAATAGAGGCATGAGTATGACATAAGGGACTGGAATTACTTCATTTTTCACATAGACACAGGACAGGTGGTTGGTGGGGGCAGTGGGTGTTACATCCCAGTGATGTGTGTGGTCGGGAGTCTTCCCGAGTCACTCTGGTGGTTCTTTGGGACGTGGTCAGGACCCTTGCCGAGAGCCTAAGGCTGGACACCTGGGGGAAGGAAACAGTGATTTGAGGAGAGGGTCTTGGCACTGCTGCCCTCCTATCAGCTCTGTCACTTGTCAGGATGAGACAGGCTATGACCCGAGGGGTGACAGAGGGCTAAGAGAAAGACTGTCCTCAGGGCGCACTTGTGATATCAGCTCTCCTGGGCAGCAGCTGCCTTGTGATCACCAGCAACCTTAGCCCTGCCCAGTATTATTTTCTGCAGAGAAAGATCTTGAAACATGGCCTCATGGGACTTTTCATAAGCACTTGGAGGCAACAACTATCTCATCAAACTTTGTGCCCTCAGTAGAATCTAGTAAGGTGCCTTGTATACAATAGGTGCTTAATAAATGTTGCTTGAATTAAATTGTCCTCCAGCTCCAAAAAAAAAAAAAATGCTCCATTTGCCACCATGTGGTATTTTTGGAAAACAATACTGATTTGGCTATCAGCTGTGTGTGGCTTTGGGCAAGACTTCCATCGATCTTGTCTTCATTTCATCCGGAGAATGAAGTGAGTGGAGTAGGTGCTCTCCTAGGCCCCTCCCAGCTCCCCGAACATT